CGGCGGGAGCGGGACCGGGCCCTCTGTTAAACCTGTGTCCTCTGGGCCGCCTCCGGCGGGGACCCGAGCCGAAGTCCGAGCGCTTCCYCCGGTAAGCCCGCTTTACCCCGGTAAGCCCGGCTGAGCGGTACCGGTGAGTTTTCCATGTGCTTTCATTGCCATGCTGGTTTTTGTGAACGCTGCAGGTGGTTTATGGTGTTGGGGAAAAAGATAATTGTTTAGTTAATATTGTGTTTCAGCCTTATTGTGTGTTTATGCCAAGCAGGTCTGTAAGAATGTGAAATAATGCAGCGGTGCAAATTGCAGAAGACATTTGCTGCAATATAAGACTTTCAGCTCCGGGTTTAAACCAGGAATCTGGGCTGATTCCACAAGGTTTTGTGGGTTGTAGAGATTTGCTACCCAGCACCTTGGATACATGMAAACTTTACATATCTTTATTTACTTAATATCTTAAAGATATTTGCCTTATCTCGTGCAGGTTGGATTGCAGCATCGGAGGGAGATCACCGCGTTTGGGCTGAGGAGCCCAGCTTCAGGAGTCCGTGCTTTTTCTTCACAACTTTAAGGGATATGAAGGCAGTTGGAAAAGCGCTTTGTGCTGCAGGAATTGTAGCTGGGCTCCTGGCTTTCCTCTGGAAAGACACTTTTGATCCAGGTAGGCTTCCCAGGGCAAGCTAGAATGTAAGGTATGTAAAAAAAGAGGTTGAATTTCAAAACATGGTCTRTTCTTAGTGTTCCTTGTGGTCTCAACAGAGTTTGTTGGGCCCCATGCACTGCGTTGCTCCCAAGACCAGAGGAAGGTTTGGAACACAAGACAGGATGATCTAACAGTATTTACAAAGGATGCTGCTGTCTTTGTAGGGGAAAAAAAATATATATATTTTGCCACTGCCTTCCCATTTTTGATAGCAAACTTGATGGGGGTGGAGGCCACCCTCTTGCATGTGTAGTGCTCAGCACAAAAGGGCTGATGTTGCTGCAAACTGATGACAAAGAATAAATAATTGAAAAGCAGAAGACAGGAGGCTTAGAGCCTGGTTTATGTTCTGCATCTTTCTATTACCAGTGCAAACTGACATAATCCCTGAAAGATATTGATCTAAGAATCCAAAGGGCRTATGACTGGGCTGTGTTACATAAATATGTTGTTATTCCTTCGCAATAATRGGCTTTATATTAGAATACAGGCATTATACCCAAAACAGAAAGGGGTAGTAATAAAACAAGGCTGTTGTTGAGCACTTGGGCCCGGGAGGGTAATTCATGGTAACTGCTCCGTGCAGTCACAGGCTTCCATCTGATTCGCATTCATTGAGCTGGAGTGGAGGGATTAGCTAATTTGATTCTCCTGGGCTGTTGGGCTTGTTCAGGTCAATCCTGCTTCTCCACTGCTTCTGAAGAGTCATCAAGACTAGTAAAGACTTGCACTATTTTCCTTTAGAGCCCTGCTGGTAGCTAAAGGCAGCTATTCCACTTTGTGTTTGTTTATTTTATATTTTTTTTTWAATTTAATTTTATTGTCCCTTCCCTCCTTCTCCTTAATAAGAGAGCTTGTCTGGAGCCCGTGTTCTTCTCACCGGAGCCAGCGCTGGGATCGGGGAGCAGATGGCCTATCATTATGCCAGCTTCGGTGCGGAAATCGTCCTGACGGCGAGGAGGGAAGCGGTGCTGCAGAGGGTAGGGACTGCCTGGTGTGAGGAAGAAATAAAGGGAAAGAATGGCGGAAAAGACACTTGGTGGAGTAATGTTTTCCCTTCAGAAATGTTGCTGAGCGAAAACAGCTGCGTTATTTTTGACTGGTGCAAAAGGAGAGGTTTAGGGATAGTGAGTGTAAGGATATTTCCCAAGAATATTTTAGCAAATAGCTAAACTACACATTGTTACCGGGCACTTTCACATACTCAACATAGCAAAAAAAAATACTGTGAAAGATGAGTACAGCCAGGCCTTCACCACATATTTTTGAAAAAAATAGATATTTGAATAGAAAGCATAACACTGATTCCAGAAGAATTCTCCTGGAGAGGAGAGAGGGGAAAAAATGGGGGGCAGGTTGGGGGGGGGAACATTATTTCTGGTGAGCCTGTCTTTTCCAAGGTAGATTGAAGTCTTACCAATAGTTACCTTGAGTTAACTGRTCTGGTTAAACAAATAGAGGTAGATTTGAAATAAGGGTGTGTATCTGTTCAGAATTGACTCTTGTTAAGTTAAACAACAAACAACATGAACAGCAACAGCAAAAAAACCCATGCCCAACAAAACGGGGTCTTATAGTGGCCTTATTTCTGTTCTCTTCCCTCCATTCCATGTAGCTTTATCTTTGTATTGTGGGTTTTTTTTTGGTTGTTTTTCCAAAGGTAATGAAGAAGTGCCTGGAGCTTGGAGCAAAGAAAGTCTTTTATATCGCTGCAGACATGTCTTCCTCTTCAGAGCCTGAAAAGGTGGTTCATTTTGCTGTCCAAAAACTGGGTAAGCTGAACATATTTCACGTTTYTTGGTGGTAAAGCACTTCCCAGCCTTTCAAGAGGAAGACTGGTTGTTTCAGCTGGTAACTGGTTAGAGGATGGCATCTTTTTCCTGACATCTTTTTCCCCTGTCCCCAGGGGGACTGGATTTCTTGGTGCTGAACCACATTGGCATGACCCCTTTCCAGATGTGGGACGGAGATGTGGAACACACTCGCTGGCTCATGCAGGTGAGGATTCCCAGCGGGGAGAGCCCGTGTGGAATGGGGTGAGTCTGGCTTTTCCTGGGTTGGCTTTGGGAGATTTGAAGGCAAAATCAAGCCTACAGCAATGGCTGAGGTTGAATGTTTTATTCCACTCATATTTTGGGTAAATAGTCTTTGTTACTGGACTAGGCGCCTTGCTCAAGTATGTTGGTGTGTAAGTGTGCAGAGGAATGTCTGGGAAGAACAACTCTCCTTCCTGCTGCCCATTTTACCTCCCGGTAGCCTGGTGTTTTCAGGGATTAGTAGAWTAATCCCCGTGGGATTACTCTACTTGTGGGAGGTTGTACTATAGGTATTAACATCTCCCACAAATCTATGGCAGACGCACGTGTTGTTGCAGAACACGATAAAACGTGATTTTTTGAGATGATGTTTGCTCCTGAGTGTCTGTTTACAGGCGTGGTGTTTTGCTGTAGATCGCTTTGGTGTCATGCTTTGGAAGCACCGACACAGATATTTTCCTGATTGTTTGCCTAAGCAGCTTAGGTAAACCCTATTAGTTGTACTTCATGTTGAAAAGTCTGTTTGCTAGAGAACCAAAGATCACAGGTACAAAATGTCCAGTAAGTTACAGAACAGTCAAGCTCAAAAGAGAGGCTGAGTGTGAGGCTTCATTGTAGTCTTAGTTCACAGTCTAAATAGATTTAGAAGGGGCGTAAATCAAGATGCTATTGCTCTCCTTATAGATATTGAAGGCTATAGAATAGCCTATAAGTCCAAGCTGTGCTCTCTTGCATTTCTGACCACTGGGTTGGCTTTCTGGCTCTTGCTGACCTTCTTTCCAAACTCTCCTACTCATTCAATGATTTTTTTTGTCATTCCAGGTGAATTTCTTTAGTTATGTGGCCCTGGCAACAGCAGCTCTTCCCACGCTGGAGGAGAACCAAGGCTCTCTCATAGTTGTTTCTTCTCTCACAGGTTAGTGCTTGTAACTGGTGGCAGTCTGCTATTGTGGAAACTGTGGATTTACAGYACACTGTGGTTTTGTGTCCTTGAACACGTTTTCAAGTATACTTTTTATAGCAGTAAGCAGGATGGGGCCTGGCTTTCCAGGACACCTTTTCCACGTTGCATCACTTTGCATTCCCTTGGAATTTTGCTCTGCACTTGGGGAAGTGGCCAGATCTGCTCACTTGTCTCTCAATCCTCACACCAGGCTCSTGTATCCCACAGCTTTGAGACCTTTCTCCTGCTCTCTAAAGCCAGGCTTTGGCCAGCTGGAATAGCTGCAGCTACCTTTATCTGCTGTGTGGGAAGGAAGAGCAGGAGAGAGGCTTCTGAGTGTAGTCACTGTGTGAAAGCTTACACTACAACCTTCTACACATCCTGACCCAGTGTGTTTTGGGGCTGGAACTGCCATGGGACCGATGTCACCACCCGATGCATGGCTACACCTGTGGCTTCACATGGCTTTGTTTGTATTTTGAGGGGTGATATTTGGTTTGTTTTGCTTCGAGCTCAGCCTGTGACCTAGGTACTGTATAGATGAAAGGTGTTTCTTCCCCTTGTCCCCATTTGTGGCTGTTTTCTTGGGATATGTTCATATAAGGTGGTGTCATTTTCAGAAACGTCCGAGTGAATGAAAATAGGGGGAAATGAGTGGATGCAGCATGGCAAAGTCTCAGTTTTGCCTAGATTCTTCCTTTGTGGCACTACTTCCTTATAGCTACTTCCTAGTGTTTCCCATTCTCTTCCTTTTCAGGAAAAATTCCTACTCCTTTCACCACGTCATATTCTGCCACCAAGTTTGCGCTGGATGGATTCTTCGGCTCTTTGCGCCATGAACTCGCCATGCAGAAGAAAAACATCTTCATCACACTCTGCATCCTGGGCTTAATTGACACCGAGGTGGCATTAGAGAAGACCAGGTATGTGTTTGGAGGAGGATGCAGGAGTTGGGTATACAGGAGCTTACCTCCTCCGCAGAGAATGCAAAGAAATGCATCCCAGCTCTGTCTAAGATAGCGTGGTCATCTAAGTGTGCAAGAAAATGAATGTGAAAAGTGCCTTTGCTTGGGTGTGGCATGAGGGTTGTGTGTGTCTCCCATCTCTAAATAGGACCATGCAGAACCCAGGGTACCTAGTGGAGACCACGACAGGTCCTGCCTGCCTTGAGTGATGCTCTGCGGGTCTCCTTGCAGGGGCAAAGTGTACCTGACCGCGGCTCCCGCTGCGGAAGCTGCCCTGGCCATCATCCGAGGAGGGGCCACGCGGGTGCACGAGGCTTTCTACCCCTGGTGGCTGCAGTACATGTGCCGCTTCCGAGACTGGTTCCCCAGCCACCGGGACCGCGTTTTACAGAGCTACTACAACTACAGCAGCCCCTGAGAGGTTCCTGCTCTCCTCTCGTCGTCCCTCTCTGCCAGCTCCAGTCCTGCCTCTCCTCCTGGGCATCGCTTTTGGTATTAGGTGTCCTCAGGTTTAATTTCTGAAGCTTCTCATTGTAGAAAAGGATGGGCAGTGGCAGGATGAAATAAAGGGGAATTAAAACTAAAGGTGTGGAGAAAAACTCTGCTGATCTGAGCGCAGTCTGGAGCAGCTGGGGCTCAGGTGGTTTCGTTGCCCATCTGCAAAATGCAATTCCATGTGGGAAAACCAAAACCATGTGGGCGTCCTGCTGTTTCTCTGTGTATCRCAGGCCTTGGATTTTGACCTGACAGTTTTCTATGGCCTTGCATGGAACTGTCAGSAACTTGCTGCAATTCACATCCCCTGGGTGGCTTGAAGCCACCTCTCCTACATGGACCTACACCTGCTTGCTCCTCGTKTTTGCAGTATGGACCAGGCACCACAGAACTGTGTGGAGGAAGGAGGAGGCATCAGAAGCTGAGCCAATCCTAGATTATTCCTCCTCTCATGTTCTGCTTTTTTTAGCACTGTTAAATAAGGCTTTCAAAGCACCTGCTTGGAAAAGTCCAAGCAAAAAGGGTGCTTTGGCTCCAGTGCATGGCAATGGCACATGGTGCTGGTAATCCCGGTGTGCTCCTCCCCTGGAGTGCAAGAAAAGAAAGGAGTTTGTGTCTGYTCAGCTGAGCTCTCAGTCTCGACTAAGCACGTAGGTGTTGAAAGAAGCCTGCAATGTGCACACGAGAGCAGTACCTGCTTTATGCTTCGCTCTGCTGGAGCTAGGCAGCTCACTTTACCCATTGCAATTGGGTTGATAAAACAAACTTGTGGTTTGGGGGCCAGACCTAGGAGTGGAATAAAAGAAAAATCCAAAGGTAGCCTTTGAGCGACCTGAAACACGGGGTGATGCCCAGAATACGGCAGGATCGGATCCACTAGGACTCGCGTTCTGCCGTCCATCCTTCTAGAAAAGCTTACCTGCTTGCACAGGTGACTCGATGGAAACGGGCTCTCCTCATCTTGGGTTCCTCGTATCTTCAAGGGCAGGCACTAGCTAAAAGTCATTGCAACCAACACRTGAAATAAAACCCCAAGTTACTTGGCAAGTAAATTTTTTATTAAATAAATTTAAGATTTTTTTTTTTCCTTTTAAGACCAGAGTGAGGAATTTGACATTGATAAAGCTTGTATCTCACYTGTGACCTTGTACAGTCACATCGGTAACTGTAAGGGAAGGAACTGATTGTAAATGCTTATTTTAAACAGCCTGACATAGAATTTCCAAAGTTCTTTTCTTTTTTCTTTCCATTTTGCATTTGTYGGTCATTTTCTTTTTTGTTCAAAATTAGATGAGGCTTAAACTTCCTGAAATTACTTGTAGCAGAAATAAAATACATTATACAAATCACATACATAATAGATGTTAAGTATAAAAATGGTATTTACAGTCAGTAAACATGGACTGTTGAAACGCACAGACTTGCACTGCTCCATCCATCTTTCAGACTCACCATCGGGGCCAGAGGGCTGGCTGAGGAGATGTCCATGTCCTTGAGGGACTTGGCCAGAGACAACCGAGCAAGGGAAACTGGAGGAGAAGGGGCTGAGGTCCTCAGAAGCCCCTACATCTCTCCTTAGTCTGAGTCTCATCCACCTTTCTCCACCAGCCCTCTGTTCGTACGTAGACATAAACACACATACACACATACACACACAGGAATGTTCTTGGTATTTTATCAAACTCTGAAATACTCTGAAGGGTTTTTTTTYCTGTATTTTGGTAGAAACGTAGGGGACTTTCAAGTTGTTAAACGGATGCACCATTTCAGTAACACCCCCTTCTCCCACTCTAGTATTTTTTTTTTTTTGTTAAATCAAGCTCTGACCTATGTTCTGTGCTTAAGTGTACAATTATCTCTATCTATGCTGCATACTGTATAATCTGTCCTCTGAAGGGGGAGGTGGAAGGAAAAGCATGAACGTAGCCCTCTTTTATCACACTATCCTCCTGGTGTTTGCTCGGAAAAGCTCTGCAGAGGGTCTGAGAGGCAAGTCCCCGGGTTCAGTTCTGCAGAAGCAAACGTTCTGTTGGGCTTGGAGGTTGCAGATGCTCGCTAACCAGCTTCGCATGGTTTCCAGCACGGGGAGGCACTGTGTAGCCCCTGGGACGCTTCTGTCGTGCTCTTTTGGCAGTAGCATTTGCTGGAATCCTCTCATCTCCTCTYGCCTGGATCAAGAGAATTCCCCGTTAGCGTGGCGAGCTGGGAGCCGGGGGTCCGGGCCGTGCATGCAGCTGCAGTTCCTGCAGGGAAAGGGCTTCCCTGTGCTTTCAGCCTCACCCGGGAGTGGTCGGGACAGGCTTGGGCATCCAGTTCCAGGAGCTCGCTCTGCAGAAGCCCTTGGAAGGTTAAGACGGAGAGCTGCTGAGATGCTTAACCAAGCTGGTGCTAAGGTCGGCAGGTGAGTGACTCGCGAGCTGAGCGGCTGGCTGGGCCCCGGGCCTGGAGGTATGTCGTTTTTGGGGTGGTTTGGCCTTGYTTCTCGCCCAAACCGAGCGGGGAGCTGTGCTCTGCCCTGCTCCTTGTCCGTGCTCTCAAAAACACCGGCCTGTCCGCAGCGCCTCGCGAGGAGACGGCGTGCCGAGGCAAAGCCTCGGCTTCCAAGCCCTCGTGCAAGGCGTCAGGCTCTGAGTGGGAAAATTTGGTCCCGTGAGTCACTTTAATAAAAAATAGAGACTGTCTATTTATATTTATACTTATCTATGAAAGGGACGGGAGATGGGGTGGGCTAAGGTCYCAACGTGGTAGCCTAGACACACACCTCCGGGTTTCCTTGGCCTGTGTTCTCCAGGCAGACCCTGAGAGGAAGAGCTTCAGGTGCCCAAATCTGCTGGTTTTCTGCTCCCTTTTATGCACCACATCAGCAGCAAACGTGCGAGTCCATTGGGGCAAAACCCTTCCTGGTGGGCAGGTCCGGAGCCTTCCCTCCCATTTCCCGGCTTTGGGGAGGCAGGCTGAAGGCAGATGGGGCGGGAAGGAGAGGAGCAGAGGAAGGAAAGGAGCGATGTCAAAAGAGTTCATAGACTTATTGGCCTCTGGGAATCAACCTGAAGCAGAAATTCTTCCTCTGGGCTTTCCCTTCACCTGAACGGAAAAGGGTGACCAAGTTAGGAGGACACACGAGCAAACCTCAGGCTTTGAGCTGCTTAAAGGTGGAGGGATACGGCCCCATTTAGAAGGGATGAAGCCCTTGCCTTGGTCCATTGGGCTTCCTGGCCTTGGTCCATTGAGCTCCCATTTTAACACGGCTCCTACATCAGGCAGCTCTTCCTTGGGCCTCCATAGCCCCACCTGGACTCAGGAGCTTCTCTGATGGTGTAGGCCCCAGAGGAGGCCRCCCAAGGCTCAGCTGAGCTAGTGAGCACTCTGAGAACGAATGTGGGGGCATCGTGCTTGGGTCTGGACACCCCAGTGTGGATTTTGGGGTTTACTTGGGCCTACTGTGACAAACCCTACGCAGGGACGTTTAGCAAAGAGCCGGCTGCCACCAAGGACACTGGACTTTTTCCAGCCATGACCCTCCTTTGTCCTACTTGACACTGGTCCCATGTGAGGTGGGGTTGCCTGGTCCCTGGTGTGCCAGGCTGCCAAGCTGCCTTTTCCAAACGATGTGAAGCGGGTGCTTGTCCCTCTTACCTTGGACGCACTGTCCACGTTGGGACACCTGCCCCAGCTGAAAACCCAACTATTGAGTTTCTAAATCTTCTTAGAAAGAACAAACGTGGGGAGGGGTTGGCCCTTTCCTCACGGGCAGGTGGTTGGGGCCGTTCTGACTGTGGGAGCCTTTCGTTCCTGCCCAAGCCGTGTCGGAGGAGCTCTCATTTCCAGCAGCGCTACAGCTATGCCAGGACCCAGCTGAAGACCCTGCTGAACTGCGCCCAGACCTGGTGCATGGACTTCCTGCCTTGACCTGTCKCATCGCTATCGGTTTTCCTGATTCCCCTTAGGTCCTGGCCTGCAGACTGACCTCCTGGCTTGACCTTGGCCCTTCCTCATTTCCAGAGAACTGCCTGGTGCTCTGGGCTGTTGGTTGAACCCGGCTGCCATCTCCAGGTGCCCTGGTCACCTTGGTTATCGTGCGGSTGGCCTCTTCCTGGCAGGTCCCCGGCGCTGCCACCCGCGTTCCTGTGCTCAGCTCCCCTTCCCTTCATGGAGCAGCTCCCCTTGCAGCTCCCACGCACAAACAGGGCTCCGAGGTCGCCGGCTTTACCTGTGCTGCACAAGCGACTCCTGCTTCCTTGCCTGCTGCTGTCAGTAGGGATGGTTGGCGTCTTTGGGTCGTTTTAACTGGACCTTCAAACGTTTCATGCCAATCTGGAAGCCGTTCATGGCCTGGATAGCGGTCTGTGCACTGGATGGGTTGTCAAAGCTTACAAAACCTGAAGAACAGGATATGGGCATGGCCAAGAGCTCTTGGCTTCATGCACGAGGGTCCTCGTCACCTGCCGTGCTCTCCTACCTGACGCCACAAGCACTCACCGAAACATTTGCTCTGGTTGGTGGCACGATCCATGAACACCTTGGAGGAGATGATGTTGCCGAAGGGCAGGAACATCTGCATCAACTCGTTGTCTCCAAACTCCTGAGGGAGATGGTAGATGAAGAGATTGCAGCCTTCAGGACCTGCAAGCGTGGGGGCAGTGGGGAGGGACGAAGCACAGGCAGCCCCCGGAGGAAAGAGAAAGAGAAACGTACTCAGCTCGGAGCGCAGTGGTGGAGGAGAACCCAGCACTGCCTCGGTGTGCCTCAGCCCGCCCTTGAGGACATCTTCCAATGACTAGTCCAGGGCAAAGGACCCTGGGGGTTGCCCGAGACTGTCCCAGCCCTGCTCAGCACTGCCCAGGGCAGCAGGCACTTCTGCATGGAAGGGGCCATCAGTGGTGTGCGGACTGGGGGCAGAGCGATCCCCGCAGCTCCAGGTTCTTTCTGGATGAGTTTTGGAATAAGCTGGAAAACAAACCCTGAAGCTGGGAGAGCTCCAGAGAGGAGGAGGAGGAGGCCTTGGGAGACTCTGGATTGACAGCATCAGCAAGGAGAGGGAAAGGTGCCCTTCTCTCCAGCGTGGTTGCACCCTTAGATGCCAAAGGCATCATYACACTGACTGCCAGCTTTGCTCCAGGCAGCATCTGACCAGCTTTGAGCTCAGGAGCTTTGCGTGAGGAGCGTTTTCCTGCTCTTTATAGCCTGCTCCCTGCAAAGCCAAGGTTGGTTCCACAGCCCCGCTCCAACACGGACGATTAGAGCGGACAAGGACGAGTGTGGTCTCCTCCACTGAGGTACGGTAGAGATGAGGAGCTCCACGAGCTCCTTCTCCCTGCCCTGCCCCATTCCCGCGCCGATCCTCACCTTCCCGCTGCTGCTGCAGGACGGGAGGCGGCTGAGGAACGCTCGGCGCGAGGGGAGCGATGGTGGCAGCCGGGTACACCGCTGTGAGTCAAGGAGACAGAACAAGGGGTGACCTCAGAAAGGCGGCAGCCTCCCCAGGAACCGAGGGCAAGGCGGCAGCCGGTACCTGCGTACTGCTGAACCCCTGCGAAGGCCGGGTGCAGAGGCTCTGCCGCCGAAGGGCTCTGGGCTGCAGAGAGGAAGGACAGAGTCAGCGGCACGGCAGGAGGGATTGCGCGCGCAAATGGAACTGCACGCGCATATGGAATTGCACACGCAGGTGGAATTGCACACACAAATGGAATTGCACACACAAATGGAGTCAGTGGCACGGCAGAAGGAATTGCACACAGAATGCAATTGTGCACACAAATGGAGTCAGGCACGGCAGCAGGAATTGCACACGCATCTTCCAGTGAATTTCCATGCCTCAGTGATAAATGGCTAGAAAAAGTCTTTGCTGTGAGGATCCAGTAAAAATAAAAGCAGGTAACTAGTTCCTGATTTTTTCCCCTCCTGTTCCAGTTGTCCCTACCTGAGTACGGCACAAGGCCATTGGTGTAAACTGTGTCCAAACTTGGATGGCCATTTGGGAATGGCACCACTCCAGTGAATCCATTGGGAATGGGTGCTACGAGCCCTGGCATGGCTGCTGTTCCCAGGAGAGGCGGCGAATGTAGCCCTGCAGAGCGGGAAGAAAAGGGGGATCCTGCAGGAGAGTAAGAAGCTCCCGCTCCCTCCATCCGCCCGGCGAGAGCCCCA